TTTTTTGAGATGGAGTCTTACTCTGTCACCCAGACTGAAGTGCAGTGGCGCGATCTCAGCTCACTGCAACCTCTGTCTCCTGGATTCAAGTGATTCTCCTGCCTCAGCCTCCCAAATAGTTGGGATTACAGGCATGTGCCATCACACCTGGCTAATTTTTTGTATTTTTAGTAGAGACAGGGTTTCACCATGTTGGCCAGGCTGGTCTTGAACTCCTGACCTCAAGTGATCTGCCCACCCCAGCCTCCTAAAGTGCTGGGATTACAGGCGTGAGTCACCGCGCCCGGCCCTGTAGTTCTTGATTGTCCTAAAAGGGAAGTGTTCTCTTTTGGTAATCTGATAAAACTTGCTAAAGATAGGATTTTATAGTTCCCAGTTCTTATTCTGTCATTAAATTGACTTAACTATTACATACCTTGTTTTAAACAGTATTTATATCCTAGAAACTTTTGTGTAGTAAGAGGTACATTTTCAAGCACTGACAAATGAATTGAATCTTGTTTAAGGACACATTTTATTAACAAAATATTAGTGTAATAGTTGGCTTTTATTAAATAGAGTTTGATTGTTAATACTCCTTTTTCAGTGTGTAAAATACTTCCTGGTAGAACCGGGCATGGTGGCACATGCCTGTAGTCCCACAGCAACTTGGGAGGCTGAGGTGGAAGGATCATTTAAGCCCAGGAATTTGAAGCTGCAGTGAGCTAGGATTGTGCCCCTGCACTCCAGCCTGGGTGACAGAGGGAGATCCTGTCTCTTAAAAATATTAAATTTTCCTGGTAGAAAGAATTGTCAGCGTTGTTTACAAGTCCTATAGTGGCTCAAAATACTTTTTTTTTTTTTGGAGACAGAGTCTTGCTCTGTTGTCCAGGCTGGAGTGTAGTGGCGCCGTCTCGGCTCACTGCAAGCTCTACCTCCTGAGTTCACACCATTCTCCTGCCTCAGCCTCCTGAGTAGCTGGGACCACAGGCACCCGCCACCACGCCCAGCTAATTTTTTTGTATTTTTAGTAGAGACAGGGTTTCACCGTGTTAGCCAGGATGGTCTCGATCTCCTGATCTCGTGATCTGCCCGCCTCAGCCTCCCAAAGTGCTGGGATTACAGGCATGAGCCACCACGCCCGGCCTCAAAATACTTCTATACCATTTCCTTGATTCCAGATCTTAAGGTCACGTGTCGTAATTGGCAGTGATTTTTTTTTCTTTATTAGTGGTATATGGAGTATGGTACATCTTAAAATTGAAGGCATCTTATATTGATGAGATACAGTTTATATGGTAGTTATCTTAGAAATTGTTTTCTAACCATTTTCTACTTTGACACTTGAATTAGTCTAAAGTTCTGTTACTTGGGAGCAGTTGTGTATGAATATCTGAGACTTAAGTGTTTGAGAAACTAAATACTATCTTGCTTCATCTTCCTGCCTTGTTTTTCTTTTGCAAACTAAACCAGGCATTAGAATAGTATTATTTCATCAATTCAATACAACTCTAAATGATCTTACAGGTATTTGCATGTTGCTGACCATTCTTGAGGAGCAAGCCATGGATTCCCTATTGTTGGGCTCAGACAAACAAAATGATTTTATGCAATCGATACTTCACACTATGGAGAGGCAATCAGATGGTAATAAATTTTACTTGCTGAATGTTTTTGAGTATGGTGATGATGATGCACTTTAAAAACGATAGTGTCATTGCAGGAATTGGTGCATGTTGTGGAGAAAAGAGTTTTTCTGGTTTAGTAATAGATTCAGACTTTTTTGTTTTGTTTTGTTTTTTGATACGGAGTCTCACTCTTGTTGCCCAGGCTGGAGTGCAATGATGGGATGTCAGCTCACTGCAACCTCCACCTCCTGGGTTCAAGAAATTCCCCTTCCTCAATCTCCTAAGTAGCTGGGACTACAGGTGTGCACCAGCACGCCTGGCTGATTTTTTTGTATTTTTAGTAGAGATGAGATTTCACCATGTTGGTCAGGCTGGTCTTGAGCTGTTGACCTCAGGTGATCTGCCTGCCTTGGCCTGCCAAAGCGCTGGGATTACAGGCATGAGTCACCAGTGCTGGGCCCAGATTCAGACTTTTAAATCAGAAAGGACCTTTATAATTTAATTCAGTACCTTCCTTCCGTAGAAGAAGGGAAGTTAATCTACTTTTTCATGATGAAAAAGTTGGTGGTAGGATAAATATCAGGACCTCTGGGAGACCCATTTGTAATGACATTGTGGTTAACATTGTGGGGAAAGCCTTCTCTGTCCCATGACCTCCCTTTGCCTGCCTCTTTGTTTCTCTGTGATTCTCTAATACAGTAACTGCCAGCCACATGTGATTATTAAAATAAATTTAAGTCAGTTAAAATTAAAAATGCAGTTATTTGGTCCCACTAGTCATATTTCAAGGCTCAGTGGCCACACGTGCCTGTACTGTACCCTGTACTGTATTGAACGGTGCATAGACAGAACATTTCCATGATCACAGAACATTCTTTTGGATATGCTGCTCTAGATAGTCTAGATAATGAGGCCTAAAACTTGTAGTTGTCTTTATTATTAGATCCTGACCTCCTTTTGCTGATGCTTGTATCCTGCTAATCATGAAGGATCTGTAATTAAATAAGTGCTTCGAATCTTTTTGAAGTTAATGAATTAATAAAGACCAAGTATACCAGATCCTATGAAAACATAACGAATATAATTTTTCCCCTCTTTCTCTTCCCTTCATGCAACTTGAATGTTGTATATAAAGTCATTTGTGGGAGATTCTGATATAAATATATTGTTATTTTGTTGATAGGGCATATATATATATATATATTTTGTTTTGTTTTGTTTTGTTTTTTCTTTTTGAGACCAAGTCTCTCTCACCCAGGCTGGAGTACAGTGGTGTAATCTTGGCCAACTGCAGTCTCTGCCTTTGGGTTCAAGCAATTTTCCTGCCTCAGCCTCCCAGGTAGCTGGGATTACAGGTATGCGCCACCATACCTGGCTAATTTTTTTTTTTTTAGTAGAGATGGAGTGTCACAACGTTAGCCAGGCTGGTCTTGAACTCCTGGCTTTATGTGATCCGCCTGCCTTGGCCTCCCAAAGTGTTAGGATTACAAGTGTGAGCCACCACGCCTGGCCTGTGGCATATATTTTCTTGCTAGATTATATCTGATTAAGGTTATTACTCTTTTGCCAACATTTACTGCGTAAATTGTTCATTTCTTTCCCTTTGCCTAACTACATGTATAATTCTGTCCTTTCTGTTAAGCTAGCTCCCTTATCATCTTAAAAAAAAAAAAGTGGCCGGGCGCGGTGGCTCAAGCCTGTAATCCCAGCACTTTGGGAGGCCGAGACGGGCGGATCACGAGGTCACAAGATCAAGACC